TTCTTTCTTTCTTTCAAGGCAGTTGGGGTTAAGTGACTTGCCCAGAGTCACACAACTAGTGAGTGTTATGTGTAGGAGGCCAGATTTGAACTCAGGTCCTTCTGAGTCCAGGTCTGGTGCTCTCTCCACTGCATAACCTAGCTGCCCCTTAAGTTGAGTCTTGAAGAAAACCAGGGAAGCCAGAACACCAAGTCACATAAAGAGAAGAGCATTCCAGGCATGAGGGATACATAGTGTAAAGGTATTGAGTTTGGAGTTGAGTATTGTATATATAGTGAAGAATAAGAGGGCAGTTTCTGCTGGATCTTAAAATACACGAAGAAGAGAAAGGTATAAGAAGACAGGAAAGGTAGGAAGAGACAAGGTTATAAAGGGCTTTAAATGCCTAACAAGATTTTTTTTTTTTTGTTAGAGCCTGGACGTGATAGGGAGCCACTGGAATTTACTGGGGGAGATGTTTATCACATAGTTAGACCTGTACTTTAAGAATATCACTTTTACATCTAAGTAGACGATAGATTGCAGTAGAGAGAGACTTCAGGCAGAGAGCCCAACTTGAAGGCTATTAATGCAGTAATCCATGTGTGAGACTTTGGCAGTGTGAGGTAGAGAATGGGACATATATAACAAGATTTATCCAGAGATTGGATATGTTGAGTGAGTATGACAGAGTTGAGGATGATACTGATGTCTGATTGACTGGGAAGATGATGGTGCACTCAATAGTAATAGAGAAGTTTGTAAGATGGTAGGATTTGTGGACATGTTGATTTTGAGATGCATTTGAGACATCCAATTTGAGATTCCCATAAGGCAACTGGTGATATGAGACTAGAGCTCAGGGATGAAGTTAGAGCTGGATATATACATCTGGGAATCATCCATAGAGGGATGCTCATTGAACCCATGGGGACTGATGAGATCACTAAACAAGATCGTGAGAGAAGAGAAGTGGGCCCAGGACAGACCTTTGGGGAACACTAACAATTACTGGGCATGACTTTGCTAAAGAGCCAGCAAAGGAAACAGAAGGAATGATCAGACAGATAAGAGGAGAATGAGGAGAGAGTAGCTAGGAGAAGAGGGTGACCAACAGTGTCAAAGGTTACAAAGAAGCAAGAACGCTTGAGGATTTAGAGAAGATCATTAGGTGATTAAGGGGGCAATTTCAGTTGAATGGTGAGGTCGGAAGTCAAATTACAGAAGGATTAAAATAGAGTGATAGGTAAGGTTACAGATGCAGTGATTATAAACAGCTTTCTCAAGGGGTTTGAAAACTAACAAATGAAGGACATATATTGGAAATCTAATTACACCTAGGGAAAAAGAAAAAAAAAGTACAGAATCTTTAAAATATGTATGTGTATATAATAATTATTATTTCTTTGTGAACCTTAAAGTTGTTATCATTATACTCATGCCTGTGAAAAACATGAGAAAGTTTCTTCTCAAGGACTTAAATGTTACTCATTGTTTTGCTTAGTCAAAACCACAGTACTTTCATGCACCTGTGGTTGAATCAATGCTAGCACTTCACTGATGCAGACCCCAGACTATCCATGCCTTCTTGTCTTTAATGGATAACTCTTGTCCACATCTCTCTTCAAATCCTTCTAACCTCTACCTTTTAAAACCCCCAATTTCCTGAAAAGCCCAGCTTAGTTGCCACCTCTTACAGGAATCTATTCTTAATCACCCCAGTTTTTAGTGCTTTCTACCTCTTATAATTATGATGACTTTGTGCTAATTTATTTTCATACATACATTACATTTGTATTGTGACCCTAACCCATTGGTTTCCAATGTTTTTTGTTCAACCACCCTTTTTCAGTGACAAAAAAGTGTTATGAACCCTCAGGCTAATTTTATATACTACTCAAAATATTCTTTACAGGCGCCATAAAAGAATATTTAGTGCAAACACCTTGTACCATTGATCTGGGTACATGGGTATTCCCTTAAATGGTAACCACTTTCCTAACCCCACCTCATTCTGCCAAGTATATTCAATATAAGCTCTTTGGGGGTTTGGGATAGGGAGACAGGACTGTTTCCTTTTTGTCTCTGTATTTATTGAACCTGGCACAGTCGCCTGTCAGATAGTAGGTCCTTAATATATAATTGCTGAATTGAATTAAGTAGAACAAAGAGCCTTCATGGAGGTTCCACCCAATGAGTTGGAGGACTTAAGTTCTTTTAACAGTTAGTAGGTACCAATGTAGTTGCCATTTCTCCTATTTCTTCCTCTTACCCCAGAAATCTCCCTTCACCCCAACATATTTTGTCTTGACGTTATTAGGGAATCCCAGAAAGGGCAGGGATTTTGAAGACATTGAAGAACCCAGACTGGTTAGAATAGCTAGCCAAATTTATGGGATAATTACTAATCAGTATTAGAACTTTGGCCTGGGTTAGTAGCATAAAGTGGGTAAAACCTTAAAAGAGTTTCAAAGCAATCCAGTCTTGCCAATATGTAAATCATGTAGCTGTGAAAATTGTAACATGGGGATCCCAGAATGAAATTATTCCCTTTCCTTGAATTTTGAGCATGACAGAGTAGTTTGTGGTAGCAAATATTGCTGATTTGTTCTGAATAACAAACAAAAAAAGCTTATATTGAATATACTTGGCAGAATGAGGTGAGGTTAGGAAAGTGGTTACCATTTAATGGTTCATGTACCCAGTCCAATGATGGTACAAGGAGTTTGCACTAAATATTTGTTATTTCATTGGTGTAGGTAACTCCTGATGGGGTGGTAACTTCCTTTCCCAAAGAAAGTACACCCTCTCTGCAACTTATGGTCTTACCTGGGGCTGTCATTTGTCTTTTGTTTTTGAAGAGGAACAAAGACATCACGGTGGTGGGGGTCAGGGCACAGTGTGTTTGGCTGTGGTTGATCAGTCCAGTACAAACTTAGAAGGTTCTACCACAGGTCGGGCACAAATAGTCCATCAGTATATCTGGGATGGTGATGTCTCTGAATTTGTGCAGCTCATGTTTTCTTTGCGCTGCTGTGATTCTGTTTTACTCATGGAGCACGGCACCTTCTTTGATGCAGGCACACCAGGCTGGGTGGTCCTGTGCCAGAGTCTCCCATGTCTCCCAATCAATACTAAAGTTATTCAGAGAAAACTTGAAAGCATCCTTATACCAATTCTTCTGACCACCACGTGTCTGCTTGCCTTACACTAGTTCTGTAAAATAGCCCATGTAGAGGTTAACTGACTTGTCTAAGATTCCACAGCCAATATGTATCCAAAGTAAGACTTGAACTTGAATAACTTCCTGATATAAAGTCTAGCTGTCTATCCCTATACCAGGCTGACTGACATTCAGCAATAGTAAGATAAGTAGTTTGTTGAAATCTTTTGTTTTGAAGCATTTGTTGTTCAGTTGTTCTAGTTGTGTCTGACTCTTTGTGACCCCATTTGGGGTTTTCTTAGAGTGGTTTGCCATTTCCTTTCCAGCTCATTTTATAGATGAGGAAACAGAGGCAAACAGGGTGAAGTGACCTGACCAGAGTCACACAACTAGAAAGTGTCTGAGGTCAAATTTGAACTCATGAAGATGAGTCTTCCAGACTTTAGACCCAACACTCTATTCACTCTGCCACTTGCTGTTTTGAAGCATTAGGCTCATTCAATCCTATGACAATTTTAAATGATACATAAAACTGACCAGTTGTCCCATGATTTCAGGTGATTTAGAGAATTAAACTAGGTAATTCAGGCCAAGATTTTTGAGTTTTAATCATTCCAACATATATCACTCTCTGCTGTGCTTATTGATTGATTGATTACTTTAGCTGCAGTGACATAAGCAATGTCACTTCTCTGCTCCTTTACATCCCCCCCGCCAGCCTCCCCAGTACTTCTCTCATTTTATAAGATTGCACTTGATTGACATATTTCAGCTTTGCCAGGTGGACCTTTTAAAAAGATTTTTGCCTCCTTTCTCTCTGCAGTTTCTGTTTTCCTATTCTGCAATACAGCCGATAAGAACTCATAATTTAGCTAATAGATTCCATTGAGGGCCCCCTACTTAAATTTACAAGAAGAATTTATTTCAGTGTTTTAGCCTTTGGAAAGTGATGAATTTGTTTAATAGATGTGCAATTAACCAGCTCAAAAATGATCATTAGAAACCCTTTTTATTTGGCTACTATATGTCGCCAAACCCTCAGTCCATTTATCACCAGCTGCATCCATTAATTCAGTATTGCTTGTCCTTGACTAAGAGCCTTCTGAAACTTCACATTTTGAATTTAACAAAGTACAAATATTAGGACAGAGTTTTTCTGCCTGAATGTATTTGATTTTAAAGCTCAATTATGCTTGGAAAACATTGTTTTGAGTTTTTCTTGCCATTTTTGTTGCTTTGCAATATATTAAAAAATGAAGAAAGAAAGATTGGCAATCCATAGAGTAGGGCTGCAGTTGATGAATATTACCAGCTTTCAAGTGGATGCTTTGCTGTTCAAAAAAAAAAAAAAAGAAAGGAAAAAAAATCATTCTATCTGGGTTGGGCCAGGGTGTGTGTATGAGATTTTTTTGAGGCCTAGTGCTAAGAATTTCAATGTCTTTTTATGTTTGTCTACATTTGGGGTGGAATACTTATCTGATCCAGCTGGGCAGTCATTCAAAAGAATACTGCCTGCAGCTTTTGGTACTCCAACTTCTAAAATGTGAAATCTGGTTGGGGAAAATTAACTCCCTAAGTATATTAAGTGTGTGTGCGGTGCAAATACCAAGAATCCAGGTTTGATTGTAGTCTACTATCATTTATTCCATGGCTTTTGGATAAGATCTGAGGTTCCAGTCTAATTCAATACACATGGTACACACTGTATCCTAGGATCAGTCATAGAAGGGCTGCTGTTTTTACAATTAGGAAAATGAAAACAAGAAGGAAACTTCATTGTCTACTAGTTTAAGTTCTAAATATGTTTTTTTTTTCTCCTCTCTCTTCTTTTCCTCTCTGCGTTCCTCTGGGTTTCCAGTTTATCGTGGTTTCTGGGCAGTGTTCCTTCTCCTTGGTGTCATGGCGGCGATAATCGCTACCTTCTTCATTATCTGCGCTGCTCCCTTTGCCAGCCATATTCTGTTTAAAGCAGCAGGAGGAACCTTTATCACTGCTGGTAGGTACAGTAGTACATTGTACATAGTTTTTAGTCCAGAGTTCTTCATACTTTTTTTTTTAATATCTGTTTTTGGGAAGCCTAAACTTAACTCCGGCTGAATGGCTAACTCCTAGCTTAGCCATTCAGCCATTGACTTTCCACAGGGTCTTGAAGAGGCATCTATCCAGTCTAGTAGACCTTGAATTTTTCCATCTATTGATGACTGTAGAAAGTCACAACTCTAGAAATTTGGTGGCCCCAGTGTAGCTATGGACTTTCTTATGATGCCTGACAAGCAGTAGAAAATTAACCCAAACTAAAATACTGTGATGTATATTGCCTGTGAATGAGTTGTGCTGTGTTGTCCTATTTGGTACTATTACAACAGGGAGGGGACAACAATAATTTCTGATGAATTAATTAGCTCTAAAATCAGGATTTATATCACATTTTCTTTTTTCCTTTTCCCTTCTTCCATGCAGAACAGACTCAAATCTAGAGCTGTCTACTATATACACACATACATATACACATATATGTATGTATATATATCTACATCTATATCTCTCTCTATATCTCACTCTAACTTTTACAATACTAAAAAAAAAAACAACGGTAATCTCACATACATGGGCACTTGACATTAAGTGACATTTTAGAAATACATATTCCTCATTGTTGGTATCATCTTGCTATAGATTCAGTTGAGAAATTCTAATCCTTGAGGCTAGATTCCTTGGAATTATCTTTGACTCTTTCCTAACTTTTGTTGTAAAACTTCTACTGATTTTTCCATGAAAGTTTCTCTTGAGAATTCACCTCACTCCACTTAAGTGTTTATGTCATGATTACACTGTCTGTAATATTTATTGGCAAGGGTGTTGGGTGATATTGTTCATCCTTTTTTTCTTTTTTTTTTTTTTTTTGCAAAGCAATCAGGGCTAAGTGATTTGCCTAGGGTCACACAGCTAGTGAGTTTCATGTGTCTGAGGGCCAGATTTGAATTCAGGTCCTCCTGACTCTAGGGCTGGTGCTCTATCCACTGCACCACCAAACTGCCCCGTTGTTCATCCTTCTTAATGATGACACATGAGCAGAAGCAGTATGTTACTGGCATGTGTATGGCGTGTGTACTCATACACATATATGTAAATATATAAATATATA